GGGGGGGGGGGGGGGGGGGCCCGCCCCACGGAAAATCTGAAGGGCCCCCCCCCCCCCCGGAAGAAAATTTTGGAAATAATCACTGCACATCTGTCCTGTATTTTGATGCACGCTTCAACATACCTTGCAATACTATTTCCTTCACAAATTTTGAGTGCAGTCCTTCAATTATTACCCCTTAAATATTTCAAGTAGTTGATTGCCACCAAAAATGACCTTAAGAAAAGAACTGTAATAGTTTGAACGACCCACTGTTGGTACACAATATATACTCTGGGCCATGGACGGATACAGTGAGAAGACGACGTAGGGGCACCGAGGGGCAGCAGAGTCCTCTCTTCAAATTCTCTAGTGTTTAATTTTTTAATTTTTTTTAAAATCCACATTCTTTTGTTGGAGTGAAAAAAAATATTACTTTAATAAAATTAAATGCATGTTCATTTTATGTTATTAAGATACTATTACCTTAAATTAAAAAATAAATAAATATTTAAAGTTAAAAAATTGTGCAAAGACTCTCATACTCCTTATACTAATAAAAACTTTCTTTCTACTCGCATTTCCATCTTTTTTTTCAGCGTAATTTTGTTGTTGACACTCGTGACCGTCCCACTCAGTGGATCGCCTGTCGCTTGCTGACCTTTTAAAGCGCATCTGAGCGGAGGACAAAGAGTTAGGAGTGCCGTTGTGCTGGGTCGAGGGAGGTGTGGGGGGGATTGGCGTGATGGATGATGGGGGAATAAGACGAAGCCCATCTCTTCGCTTTCATGAACCATCGGTCGTGACTGTAGGATTTTGGCATGGTAGGGGGGGGGAATGTTGGGGCATGGCATTTCGGGCAATTTGACTCTGTCAGCCTGACGGCGAGCAGACTGCGCTCATCGACAGTTGCGCACTCAGAAATAGCTTACGTCGACAAAAGAGCATCGGAAAATTGCGTACTCAGACAATTGGTAAACGTTGACAATGACGCAAGTGAAAAAATTTAGAAAAATAGACTCAAGAAACCTTCAATTTTCAAAAAAAATAAAATAATAAAAATGGTAGGTACTAATGTTATAAGATTGTGGTCATGAAAATCCAAATGTTAAGGGAAAAAACTTGTTAGCATTATTTTCTCAAGCTTGTCAATAAATGACTACGAAACCATGGACCAGAAGGTTGTCATTAAATGACCATGCCATAATCTACCAGCAGGTTTCATACCTCTGATTTGCTTAAATATTTTCTTTTAATTAAAAAAAATGTGTTTTCGATTCTTCTATTGTATTTTAATGTAGCACCAGGTGCCTAGACAAAATAATATTAATTGTGTATGTGATGTATTTATAATTTTTTAGGTTTAGCATTTATTTAATACCTTGCCTAAATTGCTTGTAGTTTATCTTTTTATCAAAATTTATGGTTTAATTCCGTTGAAATTTTGATGTTTTGTAATATTGCATACCGGTATGTGCTGGAAAAAATATCAATTTAATTACCTGTGAATATTATGATACCCTGTTGTTTTTTAAATTAAATGTTTATGTATTTTAAAATAAGGCGGCTAAAATTTGACTTAAATGTATAAAGACATTTAGAAACCAATGTAAATTAAGGAGCATTAAATTAACTTCAAAATGATTTACACTAATTTTAGGGGGGGGCTACTACATTAACAGCCTTGCTACATTGATAAATAGGGTGTATTCCGTGTTATTTTATGAGACGTCCTACGGTGGGTTGAATGTAACAACTACATTAACAGCCATGCTACATTGATAAATAGGGTGTATTTCGTGTTATTTTATGAGAGATCCTACGGTGGGTTGAATGAAACAACTACATTAACAGCCATGCTACATTGATAAATAGGGTGTATTCAGTGTTATTTTATGAGAGATCCTACGGTGGGTTGAATGAAACAACATGCTTTATTATTGTTGAAGCAATACTTTTTTTTTTATAAATAAAATTGTCGGTATTTTATTGTTATTATCATAAAAACTTACCTCCGAGTAATTTTTCATATTAAAACTAAATCTAGAAACACAATTCCAAACACAACAATTATTGTCACTATTGATTTATTGCCAATTGTATTGTCTCAGAAGTTTAACATAAAACTATTAAATTAATAATGATCCGTTTTTACTGCAAATTAGCCTCGAGTCTTACTCAAGTATTTTAACTTCTCGTCCTCCTCATCATATCCGTGTACGGCAGTGGCAACTAACACATGCAGATCTTCATATCCCTGTACCTACTTTTATTTCACCACTTCTATTTACCCACCTTTATTTACCCACCTCCATTTACCCACCTCATTTTACCCACATTCATTTACCCACCTCCTTTTACTCAACTCATTTTACCCAACACCATTTACCCACCTCCATTTACCAACGTGAGGGAAGAGGCGTGCAGAAATTGAGGGCGTCGAAGAATCTCGAGCAAGATTAAAATGCAGTGATGTATTTGAGCGCATATTTTAATTCAGTGTTTCTTTCAGACAATTTTGAGGGTGCATTTCAGACTTTCTGGTGGGAAGCGACAAAATTAGCCATAATAAATGCTTAATTAATATCTCTATAACTCGGCCCGAACAAAATTCATTACAGTTGTGGCGCCCTTGAGGGTATGTTTTTTGCCTTGGGTTATTCTCATTCCTTACACCTTTTTAGAACTCAGAAATTGTTTGATAAATTCAAAATACAAAAATGCAATCTAGAACATTCCCGATTTATAAGCTTTGCAACATTCTTTATTAAAATGGAGAGCAACGGAAGAGAAGCTATTGAAAAATGTAGGTGTCATTTAACATCAGAGCCCCCCCCCCCTCCCACCCCATCCTTTTCCCCCAACCCCTTCGGCTTCAGGGGACCTTGGATATTTTAGAGCTTTTTAAATTATCATCTCTGAATGCAAAGTGGAGGAGGTCAAATCACTGAGAGATAAGACATTTCGTAAGATACTCCAATGGTACTCATGATGCAAAATCTGAAAGCCCAACATCGTGCGATAGAAAGACCAATAATGCTTGTATATTTCTCTCGTGAATATATGTTTTCTTCTTTTAGGAAACAAGCTGGTGGATTATAGATTTCAGGGGCGGTTTCCCATAAGGCACTAAATAACAAGTTAAAAACTTCGTCAATAATTTCACGTTGCGTAATGAAGGTCTAGAGGTCTTTACACTTGGTATTTTAGCCAAGTTACCTTTATCATGGCTTTGTTACCAATCAAAGACATAGTTCTGGTTATAAATGTATTACTAGAATATTTAACAAAGACTGGGCAAATTGATTAATTAAAAAAAAATAGAGTGTGTCATTTCTAAGATCGGAATACGTCACATCGCATGACGTAATGTTACTATTATTAGACAAGGTTGTCGTAAAACATGGCTTCTAACAATGGATTTCCGCATGTCTATAGCAGTAGTAATTTGTTTGTACAATCTTTCTTACAATAACGTTGTAAAAAAAAAAGTGTTCGTTTAAATCAGTGGTCGGCAAATTGCGGCTCGCGAGCTGCATGCGGCCCTTTAGCGACCTGAGTGCGGCTCAGCGTGTTGGCCACGAATCGGTTTTGACTTTTAAAAAAATATGGTTCTTGAAAGGTAAATTTGGCTCTCAAATTTTATTTTTAATCGTCCTGCTGCTGATTTTTGGCTCTTTTGACTAATGAGTTTTCCGACCACTGGCCTAGGTTAAGACCCAATACGCTGGCTCACATTAAAGAAGAAGGACCGAACGGCTGTCGAGAGCTTGGCCAAACGGTATCCCCGGATGTTTTATTCATATCTTCCCTCCATTTCATGAGATCGTCCTATACATAGATTTCCGCCATCACAACGACAAACCCTACCGTAGCGGTAATCCAACCGTTAAAGAATGTCCAACCGACCGAGACGGCGGGACACGGCTGCTGAAATGGGACGGTCAACTGGGAAATATGCTTGGGAACCACGTCGACATGATGCGGCAGTCTAAGAAAGACAAGTGTCAAGTCAATGCGAGTTTTTGATCGGGATTTATCCCGCTGTATGCATTTGTGAATGGGTTCGAGAGTAAGGGGGTTAGTCTCGTAATCAGTCAAAGTAAGGAAAACAAAATTACATAATTATCCCCCCTCCTCTTATTCATAAACGGTTGGAAAGAAAATATGTAATTAAATTTATTTTTTAGAAATATTTGCGCACGAAGTGTAAGACAATGGCTCCTGTTGATACGCTTATCGGGCCATGTTTGCAGAGTCTATTGGGATTGGTGAGCCACTGATGCACGACGCAGCTTCCGAACACAGGAACACTGCAAGTTCAGCCAGATCATCGATGGTGACGAGACGAGCCATTGGGGTTCGCTGTTCGGCAAACTCCAACTGGGGAGAAATTGTTACAAAAAAATATCAAACACGTCACCAGTGGCAAGCCTTGTATAAATAACAGTTGCGGAAAAATCTTTAAAATGCGCGCCCCCGCCCTCCCCCCGACTCCAACACATGTCATTTACTAATATATATTAAAATAATCCTCAAGAGTTGCGCCCTGTGCGCCATCCCCACTATGCACCTCCCAGATTCTCCTCTGCGAGGGGAGAACACTTTTGGGGCATGATCACTCTTCTCGGTTATATCACATTTCCTATATATTGCTATGTATTTTCTATATATTGATATATATTGCCTATATATTTCATATATAATGCTATATACTGCCTTATATGGCCCATATATTGATATATATTCCCCAAGTATTTCCTATGTATGTCCTATATATTTCATACACAATGCTATATATTGCCTATATATTGAAATATATTGCCTATATATTTCCTATATATTTTCTATATATTGCTATATATTTTCTATATATTTCTTATATATTGCTATGTATTGCCCATATATTTCATATTTCCTATCTATATTTCCTATGTATTGCTATATATTTCTTATACATAGCCTATATTACTTACATATTGCCAATATTACTTACATATTGCCTATATATTGAATAAATATTTTTATAAATATTTCCCGTATATTGCCTATATATCTCCATTTATTGCCCATATATTGTTTAACCCAAACGCAGGATGAATACAGGGGCTTAGGAAAGGCGACATGCTTACCTTGCTCTGTTCAAAAGATATCCCTTTGAGTGCTGCTTCCTTTTCGACCATGCTGTGACACACTATGGGAAAAAAAAGAGAGAACAGGCAAACGCAGCCAAGATACCAATATAGAACTATTATTTATTATGTTCTGCTTTCCTGTGGGGAAAACAAAACAAATCAACAACCTGATTACCCAACATCTGTGAACAATGTTCCAATTTTTTTTTAAAATTATGTCGAAAGAAAACTAAGTATTCTCAAGCCTAGATTTCACAGCCCTGGAATTCACTAGCTGAGTGTTCGCTTTCACTCTCACTGTTTGAGGACGCAGAAAACGAATCCATCATTCGGTTACAAATCGACTCTAAATTCGGCAACGTTTCATGAAAGTAAGTTTGCCAACTTTAGGATAGCACCCCCTCTGTGTATTTCTTCCTTTGCTTTAAAAACATATCATGAATGCTGAAAAAAATTTAGGTTTGGGAAAAGGGAGGGGGCAAAAGTTTTTTAGTAATGTTTTAATATAGTTTTAATTTACTGGAGCGTATTTGTATGGTGAACGAACGGACAGGACATCAGCTTGGTTTCTTTTTCTTTATTTTTTCTTTACTTTAATACATTTTTTGTCTATTTTTATCTAAAAAAAATTTTATCCAATCAATCCAGGGGGGGGGCAAGTGCCCCCCTTGCCCCTTCCTGCGGGCGCCCATGAGGGGGGGGGGTAAGATTTGTATAGAACTTTCGGGCATAATTTTTTCCGTCATAAATTTTTTTAAAAAGTATTTCCTCAAATGTCTTGTTAGCGTTTTTAAATGACAACATTCACAACTTTGAAATTGGAGGTCAGTTCAAGTTCAGTTCCGCATAGTTGTAATATCCCGTGCAAAACATGAATAGCTACATTATTATTATTTTTTTTAAATGGAGGTGGGCATCAAAAGTTCTTGGAGGATAAGTTTCTGTCTGACTACGGCGAGAAAAGTTCAGTATCTTTCCATTGAAAATCTTGCAGGTAAACTTCCATTGGAATGTCATAGAATCTGTATAGCCTTCTAGGAGTTGAAGCAGAATGATAGATAAAACCATGTAGATGGTAGTATTAGTAGTAGTAGTAGTAGTAGTAGTAGTAGTAGTAGTAGAAGTAGTAGTAGTAGAAGTAATAGTAGCAGTAGTGGAAGTTCTAGTAGCAGTAGTAGTAGCAGTAGTAGCAGTAGTCGCAGTAGTAGCAGCAGTAGTAGAAGTTTTAAAAGCAGTAGCAGTAGCAGTAGTAGCAGCAGCAGTAGTAGTAGTAGTAGTAGTAGTAGTAGTAGTAGTAGTAGTAGTTGTTGTTGTCGTGGTAGAAATAGTAATAGTAACAGTAGTAGTAGAATATGAGAACCTTTGCACAATTTTTAACTTAAAATATTAATTTATTTTAAATTTAAGATAATAGTATCTCAATAACATAAAAAGTATTAGTAGTAGTACTAGTAACAGTTGTAGTAGTAGAAGTAGTAGCAGTGGTAGCAGTATTATCATCCCGATGGGTCCAATGAACGTGTTTAAAACAAATGCCCACAAATAAAAAATGTAAGCCTCCTGCTACTCACTTGGGGCATCAACAAAGCCAGGGCAGATCGCATTGCAGGTAACGCCAAACTGGGCACCTTCCAGGGCTACAACCTGTTTTGAAGATACAAGTCTAAGTGTCACATCCTTAGTCTGCTATCAAATATATATATATATATATATATATATATATATATATATATATATATATATATATATATGTGTGTGTGTGTGTGTGTGTGTGTGTGTGTGTGTGAGAGAGAGAATATATATATATATATATATATATATATATATATATATATATATATATATATATATATGTGTGTGTGTGTGTGTGTGTGTGTGTGTGTGTATGACAGAGGAAGATTAATGTTATGAGATTCAGACGAAGTGTCAGTGGAGCCAAAGAAAAAATTTAAAATAAAATTCAGCCATCAACGTTTAAAATTAAACTACAACCAATTATATCACGTTCCTCTTCATTCCTTATAGGCTAAATGATCCCCCCCCCCCAAGCCCATCCCGTCCCCCTAATGGCAAATTTTTTTTTTAATTAAAAAAAATATCTTTATTATTATTGACAACCTCTTAATGTGAAACTGTTGTAATTCTAAATATGTTTAGGAAGCTATAAATGTATGTGGCATGTAATTATGTTTATATAAAAATACACTGTACCCTTGAAAATCCAATAAGTCCCGCCTTTGTTGTGCAGTACGCCAGCTTTCCATCCCCACCGATCAGACCCATCTGAGACGCCATGTTGATGACGCGACCCCAGCCTTTGAGACAAGATCATGGTTTACGTTTACTCCTAAGGAGGGTACCACTTAAAACCAATTTTTAAATGAAGTATTATCTTATTTATTATACAACAAGCTACGACTATTTAAAGAAAAAAATCATTTCCAGGAAGTTGAAGGGGCATTATGGGTAGAGCAGGAAATGACAGGAAGTGGTAGGCGAATTTCCCATGGTGCACATGTTCTACTTCTTCTTTTTTTTTTTTTTTTTTTTTTTTTTTTTTTTTTTTTTTTTTTTTTTTTTTTTTTTTTTTTTTTTTTTTTTTTTTAATTTAAATTTTTTATTTATTTTATTATTAATAATTATTTATTTAGGGCACACGATCAATGTATTGATTACTCTGGCACCTAAGTATGTAGAGGGATATGCACTGCTCCGGTGGCTGGCCTTGAAGAGGATATTTCACTGGTTGCAAGGTTCACTTGTTTAAGAGAAAAATAACTAAATTGGGGGGGGGGGGGGGGGGGGACATGCATGGCAAAGATAATTTTTAAAAAATCACTCTGGCTAAAATGATATCACTTGCTAAAGCATGCTTTAATTTATTTACTTTTTTATCTTTTCTAATTGTTTAATTTTTTTATATTTTTTTTTAAACAATTCGACAGCTGACTCGTTATCTAGACGCTGTTGAGCCATACCATTGTAAAAGAAGCTTATCATTTTTTTAGAAAAGGCTTAAATGTAATTTAAGAAGATTCCACAACCATGTGTTCAGGGGCGTCATCCACGTCTCAAGTCAGAACTTCAAGCAAACAATTTATTTGGGGCTTCTTTCTGAGCAATTCCATGGCTGACTTGTCATGACAATGCCAGGGCTGACATGTCATGACAATGCCAGGGCTGACATGTCATGACAATGCCAGGGCTGACATGTCATTCTTTTACGTATAAGAATTTGACGGAGCTTAAGGTCAAAATGACATTCTTAATTTTTTGAAATGTTTGTTTGTTTGTTTGTTGTTGTTGTTGTTGTTTGTATCCTTGTGTTAATGAGTGGGCAAATAAATGGAGGAAAAAGGGGGGGGGGCTGAAATACATAAATATTTACTGTGACAATAACCTTTCATGAAAAAAAAAATGTATTTCAATGAAAGTAAACTGTGTAATCTAGAGGTTAACGACGAAGGTAATCGACAGGAGTGTGTATACGTCACCTTTGTTCTTCATCAGAGGGAAGAATGTCTGTGTGAGCAGAAACGGTGCCGTCAGATTAACTGCTAGCGTGTCGTTCCAGACTTTGAAAGGCAGACTTTCGATCGGGCCTCGTCCTGGTAAGCCTGGAAACAAAAAAATATATTGAAGAAATCTGCTTTAAGATGATACATTCGTAAGTGATATGGCCGAAAACTATTTATTTTTTGCAGTAAAAAAAACAAAAAAACCTTAATTGTATCTAGGGGGGGGGGTGGTGTTGGGGACGGAGGCCTGGGGGGATCAAGGACTCAAGAAAGTCGTGGCTTTAATGTTTTGGGCCAATTAGTGTATAAAGTATAAAATGAGTAAAACAGAGTAGGGTTAAACCTGAACAAAGAAACGCAACAAAACAACGAACTTGTTTTTTGTTTGTTTGCTGCCCTCGGATGCCACGTCCTAGCTAAGTGATATTTCTTATTTTTATACGGTTTTTTCTGTTGTTTTGTTCGCTGACGAAGGCTTTCTGCCGACACGTTCGTTGTTTTGTTGCGTTTCTTTTTTCAGGTTTAACCCTTCTCTGTTTTACTAATTTTATATTGTGCTAACCTGATTGTAATCTCTCCCCTTATTAACCTATTGTATAAAGTGACGCATATAGGGATGTATATAGGGATGTACATAGGGATGTATATGGGGATGTACATAGGGATGTATATAGGGATGCATATATGGATGTATAAAATGTTATCCAAGCCCATGCAGGGCTTTGGTCTGCCTCACCACTTCCTCCCCCTCAGACCTAACTGATGCTTTTCTTTTCCAAGCTTGGATTCCAAACTGCTGTAGATAACTGTCGACATGGTCCATCAGTCTAAGCCTTGGTCTGCCTTTGAGACGTTTTCTTCTGGGTTTTTTTTTGTTTTTGTTTTTTTGTGTGGGTGGTGCACCCTCTTCATTTCTCTGTCATGTGGCCTTCTTTTTTATTTCTGCTACTAGCGTAGGATCCTGATATAATTTATACAATTCCTGGTCGGTTCGTTTTCTCCATGCATAGTGTTAGGCTATCTCTAAATGTTTGCTTGTGATGTATATATATATAGTATTATGTTATCTCTTAATGTTACAACAGTTCTCGTTTTTTTGGTTGTTTTTTTTTAAAGAAGCCCTTCTATGGTATCCAACGTGACTGATAAATAGATACCATGTAAACTTATAGCTAAGAAATTGCATTATTAACCAATTGATAAGCTCATGAAGTGAACCGATTTTCAAGAACATGCCACTTGGATCAAGTATCTGTAAGCGTTAGCAGTAACCCTACACGTACAACAGAGGTTCTTAAACTGGGTTCGATGAGTCAGTCTCAAGGGTTCGGTGGAGGTCCAAAACAAAATAATTTAAAAAATGATATTTTATTTTTCCTATAAATAAGGGTTTGGTGAATGCGCATATGAAACTGGTGGGGTTCGGTACCTCCAAAAAGGTTAAGAACCACTGACGTACAATAATGTTGTATTATTATGCAACAGACACCACTATGAAGACTGAAACGGTATTCCTTCTACACTTTGCTATAACATTTTGCGCCTCAAAATTTCGATTGCTACAGGTAATAGATTTGTTTCCCAGATTGACCTTTGTTAGACGTATTAAAATTTTAAAAATAATAATAGCGTATTTTTTTGTTGTGATTAACGTCTGGGGGATTAACGCTTAATGCACTGTCGTTCAAACGTGTGTACCTGTAGCATTAGTGGATTAAATTGCTCCAGGTGGTACACACACATGACACACCTGCATACGCCTTTAAAGTTGCTCAAGGTGGTACACAGCCAAGACACACTTACATACGACCTTTAAAGTTGCTCCATTTGGTACACAGCCAAGACACACTTACATACGACCTTTAAAGTTGCTCCATTTGGTACACAGCCAAGACACACTTACATACGACCTTTAAAGTTGCTCCATTTGGTACACAGCCATGACACACTTACATACGACCTTTAAAGTTGCTCCATTTGGTACACAGCCAAGACACACTTACATACGACCTTTAAAGTTGCTCCATTTTGTACACAGCCATGACACACTTACATACGACCTTTAAAGTTGCTCCATTTGGTACACAGCCAAGACACACTTACATACGACCTTTAAAGTTGCTCCAGGTGGTACACAGCCATGACACACCTACATACGACCTTTAAAGTTGCTCCATTTGGTACACAGCCAAGACACACTTACATACGACCTTTAAAGTTGCTCCATTTGGTACACAGCCAACACACACTTACATACGACCTTTAAAAATGCTCCATTTGGTACACAGCCAAAACACACTTACATACAACCTTTAAAGTTGCTCCATTTGGGACACAGCCAAAACACACTTACATACAACCTTTAAAGTTGCTCCATTTGGGACACAGCCAAGACACACTTACATACGACCTTTAAAGTTGCTCCAGGTGGTACACAGCCATGACACACCTACATACGAGCTTTAAAGTTGCTCCATTTGGTACACAGCCAAGACACACTTACATACGACCTTTAAAGTTGCTCCATTTGGTACACAGCCAAGACACACCTACTTACGACCTTAAAAGTTGCTCCAGGTGGTACACAGCCATGACACACCTACATACGGCTTTCCGCGCCTAATTACGGAATATGCGCATGCTAGTTTTACCAATTTATTTAACAGGTACAAAAATTCCAAAACTGTGAGATCCCTTGGTCTAATCCATAATTAAATTACCCGCATTATTGACCAGGATATCCACGCCCCCTGGATACTCTGCGATAACTTGTTTACAGAAACTTTCGGTTGTCTCCCCCAGGAGGAAGTCACTCGGGATAAACTGAAACTCTCCCTCGTACTTGCTGAAAGAGATTATTTATAGTGTGTTAGTTGTTGTTTATATATATATATATATATATATATATATATATATAATGTAACTCGTTCCCAAACATGGCGGCGAATGGATAGCCAACAAAGAGTACTTTGCTAAATTAAAAAAACAACAACAAATAATTGCACATAAACACCATACGATGATTTACTGAAAAATCTGAATCTGAGGCCCCATGAGGCTGCCCTTATGACGTAAACGAGTCTGATGCCCTTATGACGTATCTGAGTCTGAGGCCCCATGAGGCTTCCCTTATGACGTATCCGAGTCTGAGGCCCCATGAGGCTGCCCTTATGACGAAAACGAGTCTGAGGCCCTATAAGGCTGCCCTTATGACGTATCTGAATATGAGGCCCCATGAGCCTGCCCTCGGAGAGTTCCCCGTTTTTTGGGGAGCGTTTGATCGAATAACACTGGCTCTCCTTACCAAGTTTGAACTGAGTTTCTAAACAGACACCATCCGGGCTCTTGATGACTGTCAGCCATCTAGCAACCTTTTTAAAAATATGTCGTTGCATAATAAATGTTTAGTTGTTCAGACTCTTGTAAATTCATCTCGCAATCTTAAAGTGAAACGGACTGACGAAACTTCCGGTCCACATGAAATGAATTTTAAATCGTGGATTGGAATAGATCAAATACTCCTATAATTTTGAGTTTTCAAAAAAAAATTCAGCTACATTTCAGTTACATTTCTGTTACATACTAGTTACATTTCTGTTATAATTCAGTTAAATTTCTGCTTTAAGTCAGTTACATTTCTGTTACATTTCTGGATTCGGGGGGTAATGAAGTTTTCTAGGATTTCAGTTCAATTCAAATTCTACGAATTCAGTCAAAAGAATGACATCCTATTCCACGGTAATCCTTTATATAAAATATATCGATCACGCTTTAATCTCCATCATCTGCCTGGTGACGACCAAACAGTTGTTATCAAAACGAAAGTTACACTTTGCATCACTTTGAAATTTTTTTTTAAAAATTGTGTAACTTACGATTGAAACTCTGAGAGCAGTCCCGGGATTTCCTCCTCTTTGATCAGCCCTGTGAGAATCACAGAGCAGCCCCTCTTTGCCAGGCCGTGAGCAATGCCCCGTCCGATACCAGTAGTCGATCCGGTGACCAGCGCCAATCTTCCTTTTAAACTTACATTGTCGGCCATTCTTGTTGCCAAGTGGAGGAAAGCTGCCGTCGCCTTTAGTGTGAAACCACTTTTGAGAAAACACTTGAAACCTTCGTGCTTTATCACATGTAAATTATTATGGTGAACGAGTAGAGGCTTAATGAGTTTAGTTACAGTCTGGCTGGAAACTCGCTAGAGGGGGTTGCTTAAAGACAGAACGACGCCAGGGGCGGAGCTAATGAGACCCCCCTTCCCCCCCCCCCCAGAGTAATGAAAGGAAAATTATAGTTTTTAAATTCATATTGCTGAAAATATTTATTTCTAACATTTCCTAAAGATTTTTTTAATAATACTTTTTTCAAAATTTCACGTTTCAATTGTATTCTACTTTAAACTATATAGTTAATTCTACATTAAATACAACAGTAAATTATATAAAAAATTCTACAGTAAATGTCAGTAAATTTAACATTAAATTCTATAAATAATTGTACAATAAATTCTACAGTAAAATTATCAGTAAATTCTATAAATAATTCTACAGTACATTCTACAGCAAACTCTATAGTAAATTTAAACAGTTTCTTTTTATATTATATTAAATTCTACATTAAACTTAACTGTAAAAGATTTCTGGAGTAAATTTAACAGTAAAATATACAGTAAATTCTACAGTGCATAAGAAATAACAGCCACCTACGGGGAGCTACATTGTAATGTCACCAAACATCAGAACAAATTTAATGAATTAAAAACTAAGGTCGTCTGTTTTTGTGTTAATGTGAAGCTGCTGTGAATGCTTGGCCATGCTTCATTCTGCATTCTGACGTCATGATAGGGTTTTTAAGGAATACAACATGTTAGTGTTCTTGGTGATAGAAACTCTCTAAATGATAACTTGGTAAAAACATAGAAGCACACCTGCCCCTGTCTTAGAGTTACCAAAACTAATGTTATTTATACCCCTATACGGCACGGCTGGCATGTTAATAATGTGATCAGAATTCAAGGACATAGGACAATCCCAGGGGATAGGACGATGCCAGGAGTTAGGACAATACCAGGGGATAGGACGATGCCAGGAGAAAAGACAATACCAAGAGATAGGACAATACCAGTAGATAGGACAATGCCAGGAGAAAAGACAATACCACTAGATAGAACAATGCTAGCAGATAAGACAATACCAGCAGATAGGGACAATATTGGACCAATAAACTATTTCAGGGCAGTAACTCCCCCATAGACAGCGACGAGGCCATGACAGGCAATTCAGGCTCATACCAGCAAGAAGCCAGTATAGGAGCTGCTCATTCCTGCCCAAGACAATCAGGGACTGGAACAATCTTTCAAAAGAAACGGTTGAGGCGACAACACTAGACACATTTGCGTCTATTGCCTCAAGCCTTCAAACCCCTAGTGCATGATTTCCTCATCAACACCAGGAACAGAAACATTGCAAATCCCATCTACATGCATAGGAGCCAAAATGATCAATAAATTGATAGTGGGCCCTTAAGATATAGAAGAAGAAGAAGAACTAATTTTAGGACATTGGACGCTGACATGGCATATCTTTCCGAGTCCATCTCTGACACCGACTAAAAACCGACAACTTCAACTGGACGCGACGTGTGGTAAAAAACAACCCACAACAACCGGGAGAACAGCGCCAGACACTTTTTGGTAAGCAGTGGTAACCCAAAATGTTCCTTCAACGCCTTTGCTAGGCATGTGTTCACCCGTTTGATGCATAATGATAGTTATGAAGGTTCCTGGAAATTTATAGGAGATAAATTTTCTTAATCGGAACATTGCTCGAACAGAATGTTTGACTCTTCAACGGAACAGAAGCAAGATTGTGCACCATCCGCAACCCGAATCGTAACCCAAGCTCTAACCCAAACCTTTAACCCGAACCCCAACCCAAAACCTAACCCTAAAACAAACCATACCTAACCCAAACCCTAACCGAACCCCAACCCAGAACATAACCCTAACCTTAAACTCCAACCTTAACCTGAACCCAAACCCCAACCCAAACCTAATCCTAACCCTAAAACTCCCACCCGAACCCTAACCCCAACCCGAACCCTAAAACCAAACATTAAACCAAGCCGATATACGCTTCGTTTCTTGGGCATTTTGACCAGAAAGATGACAGCATCGCTCAATGACAAATCTAGTGTTGACCAATTTTTTAAAAATAATCCATTTAAATGAAGTGACGTATTTCAAAACAGAAGCGTAGAGCCCCTTCGTTTTAAATGACATTGCTAAGATACTTCAAATCCAACATAACACTGATAAGATATTTACATTGGAAGCTAAAAAAAACTTTTAGTAACATAATTCCAAAAAAATTAAGTAGAGCAGTGGTTCTCAACCTTCCTAATGCCGAGACCATGTAACACAGTTGCTTATGTTGGGGTGACTCCCCCCACCCCCACCCAAGCATAAAAATTATTTTCCTTGCTACTTCATAAATATGTGTTTTCCGATGGTCCTAGGCGACCCCTGTGTAAGGCTCGTTCGACCTCAAAGGGGTTGAGAATCGCAGAACGGGAACAGGGTCTCTTTCAGTTATATCTCCAGAGGGGGGGGGGCAAAAATATGTCCAACAATAAATCAACTGG